AAAACTGAACCCTGTCTCAGGGAGGCACATGGCATGGTTATTTCCATAGGAGGATGTGGGATCGTTTCCAGATACACAGCTGCCTATGAGTAAATGAACACATAGCCTTAAAAAAAATGCCTTCCCCAGCCCAAATGATCCAAGTGTGTCATCTCCTGTAAGGCCTGAATTTAAAAATAAAGGTCTCCAAAAACTTCGACCGACTTTATTCTGCTCTTTCTCTAGTCTTCAGTCTCTTCAGGGCATTTATAACTCATTGCTTGGTGTGTTGGCTTATTTTGTCACCTGTATTCAATCTCAGCTAGATTGTATCGTGAGAGTCAGAGTCATCTACAGCAGGGGTCAGCTGCTGGCTGACCTCCTGTTTTTGTAAATAAATGTTTTTTGGCACAGAGTCACCCCCAATCATTTTCATATGGTCTGTGGCTGCTTTCCCATGACAACCAGATTTGGGTAGTTGGGCAGAAACCAGATGGCCCGCAAACCCTAGAATATTCACTATCTGACCCTTTATAGAAAAACCTTGCTGCTTGAAAGGTAACCAGCTCACATATATATTCTACATTTGGCTGTTGTTTAACAAATCCTGTTTATAGCTAAGCTTTTAGAAAGCTTTAACATTATTTTTCTTGGTTAAAAAGTGGTGAAAATCCTCTGCTCTTATGGTTGAGGTCAAGCCCTAAAAATTTTGATATCCTGATGTAGAAGCTGGAGTAACAATCATTTAAAACTTTTCCTTCTTAAAACATAGGGTTTGGGGTGCAGCAGTGCTTGGAACACCTTCATGTGGAGAGAGAAGCTAGCCTGCTTAAGGGACCCTGGGAGCCCCTTTAGGGAGCAGCTGGATGTCACCATTGGTGTCACATCTGCTTTTGGTTATTCCCAAACCTTTAGCAAAGCTTTGTCCCAAGCAACAGTCTGGTCTCAGCTAAGCTATGGAGAATTAAACTATTGCTCTTAGGATGGAGGAGCAAAGCGGGGAGTTCCTTAGCTCAGAGCAGGTGGCGGCAGCACAGCAGACACCAGGAGCACAGCTGTGCAAGTGGAGCGCTTCTGGCCTGGGAGGTGGTGGCAGAGAGGCCGCAGTGGAAGAGCCAGGAAGGACCTCTTCTCGAGCCTGGCTAAGAGCACCCGGGAAGGATGCTCAGAGCAACTCTGGGAATAGCACTGGAGGTGCTGTCTGTTCCTGTGCTGGTCGTAGGAGGCTGTAGTCATCATAATTTGGGCATTAAAGAAAATGTGACCTGAATTTAAACTCACTGGCTGGTAAGACCTGGATCAGGATTATTCCAGAGCTACAATTCTCAGGCATGTTCATAAGCTATTTCTTCTGTGATTTCTCTGGTGGTTTGACATAAATACAGCGCACAAACCTAAATGTTAACAGGTCCCAAACAGATATTCCTGGGCATGGCAGAAGTGTGTTCTTCAGGATATAAATCATAGGTAGGATTCTGTCTACTAGTGCCCACCTGTCTGTCTCTGAAAAAACCTTGAGATTGTATCTACTGCACTGTTTTCCTCTTTTTTTCTGTTTTAAAGCAAATTCAAGACATTATGTCATTTCATCCCTGAGTAACTCCATATGCATTTTAAAAATGAGGACATTTTCTTACACAACTATATGCCATTATCACCTCTAACAAAAATTATCAACCACTTCTTGATACCATCTAATAGCCAGTCTATATTAAAATTTCCCTGGTTACCATGACTTCTTAATCTCATCATCACATAAAAAGGGATTCTTCCCGTTTTAAAAATACAGCTATAAGTTATTTTTACGTCACCAGAGGCTTTTATGGCAGAATTTTTTTCTACCTGCTAATGTGGCAAGAGAGTTTACTTTATGTAGGAGCACAGATTATTGATCTTGGGTCTCCATTTTAGCTGTTTTTCTGCCTCTAATTTATGTATCCTTAGGGGACTCATTCAACTCTCCCCAGCTTCCCACAAGCATTCTTCTTTGGCCTAATAAATGTATAAATTAAGCTACTAGCCTGCTGGACTTATGAAGGCTTTTGCAATGTGAAAACAGCTCTTCCTGTGTATTTTCCTCAGCCACCTTCTGGGAGGGGAGGCTGAAGATTGCTGCAGGCCTTGGGGGAAGGAGCTAAGGAGCTGCATACCTGGGTAACGTTGGCACTGAGCTAGCAGGGACAGGGGGCAGAGGTGGGAGGAGGGGAGCAGAGAAACCACCAGAGGCAAAGCTGGAGGATCACGGAGCAGAATCCACCCCCATCTCTTTCATAAAATATATAAAACAAAAATAACACATAAGTGTAAAGAAAGCACAATGGATCATGTTTTCTTACTATCCAGATTGAATCATTGTTAACTGTTTGGTTTTGGTCCCAACTTTTAAAAATGTATATATAGTTTAATAAAATTTGATTGTGCATAATATCTGAATGTATAATTTGTTTTATCCTCCCACTTCATACTGTATTAGGAATATTTCCACATGTCATTAAATATGTTTCCAAAACAAGGTTTTTAACAGTTGCGTAGTATCCCATGGGTATACCATGCATTTAGATTGCTTATATTTTATTACCATTATTAAAAAATGCTGCCATGAATATCCTTGTACCTAAATCTTGGAATAGATTTCTGATTATATCTTTATGATAAATTCTGAGAAATAGAATTACTAAGCGGGAAGATCAAAACATGTTCCAAACTGTCCTCCAGAAAGTCCATTCCAATTTATATAACTAAAAATGTATAAATGAACTCATTTCCCCACAGCAGTGCCAACATTAGTATTGTTGCTTTTTCCCTTTAATCTTACAATTTAAAGCATGACTATGGCATCATTGCCCCTGCACTTCGTTCATGTCCCTTGAATCTTTGACTATTTCATTGCTGTACATCAAGAGAAAGGGTAGTGGTTTTGTTCTCTTTCTTTCTAGCTCTTGACTAGCTGCTGGAAGCTTGGTGAAGGAAAAGTGTAGAAACTACTGGACCTGTGCTACAGCTTCAAAAAGCAGCTGGGCTATGTCAGTGGAATGCTCTGAGTTGTAAATTATTTTCCTAGATTATTTGCAAGGCTGGGCTAGCACACAAAACATCCAGACTGCAAAAATATCACGAGTTATTGACTGCCAAGAGTGGCACATATTTGCAAACATCTAACATTATAGAACTAGTATATGCATTATGTATTTTTACTTTTTCTTCTACGACCTGGTTTACTACATGAGTTTTGGATTTGCTGCCTAATTTCGATCAACCTTCTATACTCTCTCCTATAAACAGAAGAGTTAAATAGTATCACTCTTCACTTGGTTTATGCACCTTGTGTAGCTGCATGCAAAATACTGTATACATGTAAAATTGTGACTATTTTCCTTGGGACAGAGCCCAATGCTTTCATGTTCTTGAAGGAGCCCATGAAAAGATTAAGAATCTTTGGTACAGAAAAAATTCTAAGGGATTATAAATGAAATGTCTGCAGGGGCCATTCAGGTAACATAAAAGAGCAAAGTGGACAAAGTATTAGGAAATAGGGAGTAGTGAAGACTGTGGCATCCTCAAATGCATTTGCTCCAACTAAATGGAGTAACTGTGTCTTGGCTCCAGACCACTGTTGGTGTATGGAAACATGGGTCTAGTGTCAGATCTTAATTTTTTTCAGAGAAAGCCAGAAATCTGAATATTTACATGAAATTTTCCAAATTTTAAATGCATATGACAATTTAAAGCTAAACAAATAAACATTATATGGGACAGACAACTGGTTGGCTGCTTTGTCCCTCAAGCTGCTAGGCTTAAATGAAACCAGGCATTTCTAAACATAATTAAATACATACATAAAAATAATTAAATGTCTTCTTTCGATTTCTCATAAGCCAAGAACACCAAGACCATTTAAGAACAAAGCTACCAAGGGACTCTAGTCTGACTGGAGTTTGGCACTTGGGAAGTTCAATGGCCAAAGTGACAGCTCTTCAAGCAACGCAGTTGCTGAATGCAGCAGATCCTGACATCCACCCTCCCTTTCCCTAGCCAATGTCCAGTACTCCACGAGGATCAGTCCCAGGACAGTGGAGACAAATGTCCTAGAAGAGGATATGTCAAGACTTCTAATTGCATGTTTACATAAAACCTTGGTTTGAAGCTCACAACACTAGTGATTGTCATGCCACATTTTCCCAATTGCCAGAATCAAGGTAAGTACAAGAAACTACCAAATGCACAGAGAAACTTACACCCAGATGAATGACATTTTTGTAAACCAGCTTAACCTCTATCTACATGATGGAGCTTGCTCTTTAAAAGAACAATATCATGATCAACAAGGGAAAAGTCATTTTCAAATTTAACTGTATCACAAGTTCTGATTTAAAAATACCGGGCTTTTAAAATATGGCACATGCCTGTATTTAAACCTTTCACATAGAACCTGGCTGCTGGTCCCCGGGGCAGATTTCCAGGGCAGGTACATAGCAAGTCCTCAGGTCTGTGGAGCAGTGGAAGTGGGTGAGGAGTGAGGGGGAGAGGGACCCTGCAGACAGCTGCTGAGAGGTTAGGGGCGGGACGGCTGCAGCTGGGAAACAAATGAGTGCAGCACTGAGAACTGAGCAAAATTGACAACTGCATTTTTCCCGAGGACACTGCCTGATACTGCCGTAACCAAATGTGCCTTTTTTTCCTTCTGTGCCCTAGATAGCATTTTATTTATGTTGAAAATGGCATCTTCCTCATAAGTCATCATGTACTGGTCAAATGAAGATTTGAGCTGTGGTAGACAATACTGTAGACACAGCCTATGACAGAGCAAAGTTACTTTGAAAATAATGAAATCTCTCCACCCACGCAAATGTACACTTTCCAAGTGAGGAGTGTGTGTGTGAGAGAGAGAGGGAGAGATAGAGGGAGAAAGGGAGAGAGAGAGATGTATCTAATGCATATCGATTTTTCCCATAATTAGAAAAGAACAACTTAGGTGAAGGCTCCTTAAGTAATCACAGAGAACATCCATTTTCTCAAGGTACCTGTAATCATGCTGGATATAATTAATGGCAAAATGATGAGTTTCAGCATCCTCATTAGAATTTCTCCAGGAAAAGCAAAGTAGAATTTCTCCAAATTTGACAGCTTGCTGTGTTCTCGAACCAAGACTCCTGTGGCAATGCCTAAGAAAATCAAGAGTTGGAAAGAAGAAAAAAGAAAGATTGTTGAGTTCTCCTGCATACATTTTGATGGGAAAATACCAAAAAATGCAAATTTTAATGTCAAGAAAAGCAGTAGATAATCTCCCATGAGTCCATAAAATTCAGACTTTTTTAAAGTCATATTTTAAAAGACAATGAGCAGAAAGTACACATTAGTCAGTAAAGCTGTAAAAAATATTCTTAACATGAAAGGTTTGTTGTCATTTCTTCCCTCTCAATTATATTTATTATGACAAAACATCAAAGAATGCTGTGAGAAAAAAATGCACCGTCTTAGTCAACCCAATGTAACTATTTTGTTTTCACACATTACCTTTATTTTTTGTCAACTTGCAGAAATATTTTACATATTTTATAGTTTACATATCGGCTTTTATTTTTCTCATATTTTTATAATAAGTACTCTTTTTATGGTAGATTTTTATGATAAATACTCTTCCCTCTTTATGCAACCTTTGTAATTTTAATAGCAACATAACATTCTATTGATTTGATATATTTACCACAGTATCGAACAACTATGATCTTTAATTCTTTGCATTCTTTTCAGTTATTTCTAGACAATGACCTGTTCAGGTATATCTGATCAAGAAGCTTTTTATGAAGTTTCTGATCCCAAGTATCTTGTATGAACAGGTTTATAATTATGTGAGTATAGGGACATATTCACTTTTATTAATAAGAAATGCTGTACATGCTCCAAAAGCTTTGCCTTAACAAGATGCCTATATGAAATCCTTCAGTCGTGTGAACTTTTGACAACTAAAAATCACACATTTTTAATATTCTTTAATCTAACAGCTTCACTCACCCCTCCCCTCAATACACACACCCCTTTTTAAAACCGAGAAATAAATGAGTTGGGATGACTTCCACACCTGTTTTCCTTCGTCATCCTCTGATAGGTGACCTGCTAATTGACTAAATGGCAGGAAGATTCAAGGAGGATATCACTAGATATGTGAATTCACAGACTCAAATAACTAGTTTGTGAAAACCCAGAGTTGTTCGGACACAGTTAAAAAACTCTAGGGCAATGAAAAGAGATATGAATTATAACCAATAAAGAAATTTTCATTTAAATTCAGTATCCTTCCCATGCCCACTAGTCAACCAAATAGGTGAACCTCACAAGATGCATTTTCTATAATAACCTTATACTTAGCTTAATTTTATTTTCCTACATATTCTATTAATACCTTTTCCTTGATCTCTTTATTTTGTGCATACATTACTAAATGAATTTCAGTATACACTACAGAATTGTGAATGCATAATATTAAATCATTTTTGGAACAACAGTATACGCATAAACATGTGCCAAATTGTAGCAAAGACAAACAAAACACCTCAATCCTGTTTGGTTCCCATTTTAAAACCTAGTGTTAGAGACTCTTAAATGGCCAAGAACACCAAGATTCAAAATATTTTAAGTACATTTTAAAAGCATGATGCACACACTTCTTGCTTTATAAATTGCCTGTGTTCAGCTGTTCTATATGAACATACCTATATCACGCTGTAAGGATACTCTGTAATGCTCAGGGCTTTAAAAAACAAACATTCTCTCTCACACTATTTAGGTTGCTTCAAGTAAATTTTTGGCTTCTATGTCAAAGAAAGCTCAGTACGTAAAAATAAAGATGTATCTGTGCTCAAAAACCAGCCACAAGAGCACTCTGTTGAGTAGCAAAAGAACCTCAAGTGCCCCAGTCTTAGGGTTTATATTACTAATGATTAACTGCGCCTCTAATCATCTCCACCCCAAATGAACGCAGGGCAGTTAGAAAGAAACGCACTTGCTATTTTTCAGCCTTTAGCCAGATATGGGTTTTTATGGGAGAAATAAGAGTTGCCAGGGAGAGAAGCCTGAAAGAATCAAAGGTGACATGCACAATGAATAGACTTTCTATCAAGCTTGTTCTCAAAACTGAGTACCACAAAGTGCACTCCAATATTTCTCTCTCTCTCTTCTCTCTCTCTCTCTTCACTGAAAAGAATAGAAATACCAACCTAGTGCTGAAAAAGCAGTTGAGAGATTCAGAGATGTCACCCTAGGACCCTCAAGACCAAGAAGTGGCTGGTGAATGACCTCGCCTAGGAGTTATACCTTGTAAATGGGGATGCTTTATCTTGGTCTCAAATGAGTTTGGAAATAGCAGATTCAGGACAAGGAAAATCACTGGAAGATTTTCAGGTCCCAAGATGAGGTCAGGATCTCACAGGGCATAACCCACCCTCATCCATTAACAGAGTCAGAACCTTGACTGGATTAAGGAGCATGGAGAGGTCCCCAAAGCCAAAAGCTTCTGGAAAGAACTGCCCTCCTGGGCATGTGCACGCCAGGCCCACCTGGTAGGGCCACTCACAGAACTAGGGAAGGTGAAGATCAGGAAACTCCCTGAATGGTATAATTCTACATAGGACTTCAGCAGGGCCAAAAAGGAACTCCCAAAGGTAAAGTAATTACCTGGACCCAGGATCCCAGGACACCATTCTTGGGCCTCCTTCTCCCGCCAAGCAAGGTGATCCCAAGCAGGTATAGGGGTAGCTCGGGAAAAACACTGCGGTTAGACAAGCAGGCTCAAGTTGTGGTTCTACCACTTGTGAGGTGTGTAACCTGGGCCATGACTTCAACCTCTCCTACTGGCAAGTGGTGGGGAAAGGGCTGGATCAGCTGCCTTCAGAGGTCCCTTCCAATGCCCAAGATGCTGTGATCACCCCTGAGCCTGGTTTCCTCAACTTTAAAATGAGATCACATGATCTCAATTCCAAGAAAGCTATCTAGGCTTTCTTCAGCTTTCATGCTAAATGTAAGTATGTTGGTAAAATAAGCAAGAAAGAAACACAGGAGGAAAACAAGCAAGACATCAGCTGGGGATTCTTCTTTAAGTTCAAGTTCAAAGATGCAAGCTTAAAATAGAAGATGCACAAAATATCATCTCTTCATGCCCTTGATGTTTGGAAAAATTGCCAGTCCAGCAGCCTTGTCTCAGAGGTTCTGAGGTGATTCATTTTTTATTTCTAAGTTGATTAAAAAAATTATTGCTCAGGAAGCAATACTGGAAATCAGAAAAGAACAAATATGTCACATATAGTATCAACATCAGCCTATCTCCCCTCTCCCATTTTTTCCAAGTCTTAACCAGTCCTTGTTCATATGCACACACACTTTTTACAGTTATATTAATAAAATTAACCTGGGGATAGCAGCTGAATTGCATATGACTCAGATTTATGAAAACAGTATTGTTCCTGTTTTGGGGTATTTGCAGAAAAGAGATTAAAATCTTCTGTGCTATTTTAAATCAAAGCCCTAGAATAGTTCTCCAGTACACAAATATGTTTTGGCTTGATTAAATAGGAATTATTGGAAAAGGAAAAAAATATTTTTAATTATCACTTTAGCAGTTATCTAGCCATACCATCATGCTAGGCACTATATTAAGCAAATTAACTATGTGTCCTTTTGCCCTTTGGGAGCTAATCTAAGATGAACATTGATGATGAGAAAATAAGAACAGAATGAATATTTATTAACAAATGACTATGTACAGATGCTGGACAAATGGAAGGATGGCTTCTCTATTCTATCCTTATGCTATAATATATCTGTACCCTTTTCTTATCTTTTTCTCCCTCCCTGAAGAGCTGAGTAGCTCCACTAATGCAAGCTCTTCACAAGAAACTCTGGCTCACAATGAGGTATCACTTAACTACAGTAAAAATGGCTTTTATCAAAAAGTCCCAAAACAACAAATGTTGGTGTGGATGCAGAGAGACAAGGACACTCATACACTGCTGGTGGGACTGCAAACTAGTGCAACCTCTGTGAAAAGTAATATGGAGATACCTCAAAGAACTACAAGTAGAACCACCATGTGATCCAGCAATCCCACTAATGGATATCTACCCAAAGGAAAAAAAGTCATCCTATAATAAAGACATCTGCACGCATATGTTTATATCAGCAGTATTCACAATTGCAAAGATGTGGAAACAACCCAAGTGCTCATCAACACATGAGCGGATTAATAAAATATGGTAGATGTATACCATGGAGTTCTACTCAGCCACAAAAAACAGTGGTGAACTATCTCTTATATTATCCTGGATGGTGCTGGAGCCCATTCTTCTAAGTGAAGTATCACAAGGATGGGAAAACAAACACCACATGTACTCACCATCAAATTGGTACTAATTGATCAACACTAATATGCACATATGGAAGTAGCATTCATTGGTTGTCGGGCAGGAGGAAGTGGGGAGGAAGGGATGGATAAATTCACACCTAATGGATGCAGTACGCACTGTCTGGGGATGGGCAAACTTGTAGAATAACTCTGACTTAGCAGTGCAAAGGCAATATATGTAACCTCAATGTTTGTATCCCCGTAATATTTTGAAATTGAAAAAAAACCAAACTTTTTTTTTTATTTCAGCATATTATGGGGGTACAGATGTTTAGGTTATGTATGTTGCCCTTGCCCACCCCCCCCGCCCTAAGTCCGAGTTTCAAATATGTCCATTCTTTGGGTGGTACGCATTGCACTCTTTAAAAAACCAAACTTTTGCTTAAAAAACACGTCTGAGTCTGTAAAGCTTTTATTTTTTGTTTTCAAATCCTTAAACAAAGTACTTACTATACTAGCAAAATATGATCATAGCTCTACTGGAAATAAAAATAAGTGCATTCATCTACAACTCACCAACTCAAATATATGCAAGGTGAAATTGTTTTTATTTTTCCATATACTATTATAGTTAACCATAATAGTTAACAATATTGAGCACATTCTATATATCAGGCCCTGCACTAAACACTTCAAATGAATTATCTCCTGTATATTTTCTCTTGTAATTTTTTTTTTTTTTTTTTTGAGACAGTCGTTTTCTGTTTCCTGGGCTAGAGTGCAGTGGCAGTCATCATAGCTCACTGCAACCTCAAACTCCTGGGCCAA